TTGGCACCATAGCCATATAGTTTCAGATGGTGGCGTGCTGAAAGACATGCAGAGGGCATCCCTACCACTACTGTCCATTTCTGCTTAAAACCACTGCCCTTTTTATTACAATTGTTTAAAAATCCCAGCTTAGGAAGGAAAAACTAGAACCTACTCCTGACTTAGTAAGATGAGGTCAGAAAAGAAGCTATAGCCTAGGCTACAATTAGAACAGCTGCTTGGCAGTTTGCGCTTTTGTACCTGGACAATGGATATGCCTTTGTTATTTGTATAAAGTCAGTATCTGAACTCTTAGGGAACTATGAGTATAGACTTAACTATTCTGTTGCCATAAACCCTAAAACTCAAATATTTGTGAAGTGGAATTCACAACTAAAACAAATTCTATTTTGAGTTTCATATTTTCTTCAGCATGAAAAAAAGAAATGTTAGATTTCACTGGCTACCATGAAACAAAGATGTTGGTTTGAAGATCTGTACTTCTGTGGTGTAAAATAATCTGCCCCAGTACAGGACAGACTTTTATTTTTATTTATTGTTAGGTGTGTGTTTATGGTTGGAAGGAGGTTCTCATGCCATGAACCATATATTGGGGGCAGTGTCAGAGAACAATTCTGTGGGGGTGCTCTGTGTTCTCCACCTTTCTATGGGTTCTAGGGAATCCAACTTGGGGTGTCAGACTTGCCTTTACCTGCGGAGCAAGGCTTCTGTCAAGGAATTTCCAACATACAGAACAGCCTGGAAGCTAAGGGTGTACAAGATTCAAGATGGACAGCTAGGTTTCTAAATAACGAGCATACTGCACTTGGTAATAATATCTGTCACTGTTTATGTGACAAATTACTTAAGTCTTCCTCATCTGTGAAAGGGAGATTAGCAATGTCAGCCTCAGCTGTGAGCCCCCTGAAAGACAAGCTTATCTAAAGCTCTTGGAGTTGATAACTCACACCTGCAATCCTAGCACTCAAGAGCCTTCGACAGGACTGCTGTGAGTTCAAGGTCAGACTGGGCTACAGTGTGAGACCCTATCGATAAATAAGTATATAAGCAAGCTCTTGGGACCATACCCAACCCAAAGTGAATGTTCAGTAATATTATAAAAATATTAGTAATATTTAAAAAGTAATATTAAATTAGTAATACTAAAAAAGAAAAAGTTACGTACATTTCCAGCTGTCTGGAAAAGCTCACTCTGCAGCAGCTGAAGAGCAGACGGCCTCTGCGATGCATTCTTTCCGGTTAGGAGCTGGATATACTTGGCTTGCACCGGACACCTTTTACTAAGGGATTCAGGTATCCGACCAGTCCTTAAGCCTGTCAAGACAGCTGCTCGCTCCATTTCTGTCCCGAAAGGCTGAAAGAGCTCGAGCAGGATCACACCCAAGCTATACATATCCGACTGCAGAGGAGGAAATGGGCATGCAAAGGTTTGTTACAAAGTTAGGGGAGCACTTCTGACAGCAGAACCTCCCAAGTAAGAATGCCCAAGAGTGAGGCTTTACAGGATGAGCAAAGAACAACACAGCAGGAAGTCTGCCTCAACAGCAGATATCTGCCTCAGGTACGACACATCTGGGACTTTCCTAAGTCCATCCGTTTATACCCAGAGAGGGCATCCATTAACCTGGAGGACAATAGCTAGCTAAAGGGCAGGGATATCTCCCAACAGACATAGCAGTCATTACTCTACAGTAGGGACATCTTCCCACCAGCCCACCATAATCCAGACCTGATAGAGTGACCTGGGCAAAATGACTAAACTCACAACTCCTACTATTAGCAACAGGAGATTGTCACCAGGTCCTAGTAAGGCTAGCCTCTGCCTCTATTCCTCTATTCATAATTGAGTACTTTTCTTTTTCAAGAACCTCTTTTTTTTTTTTTAATGTGAGTGCCACATATGTGAGGGTGCCACAAAGACCAGAAGAGGGCGTGAGATTCCTTGGAAGTGGAATCCACACAACTGTGCAGCCTGATGTGGGTGCTGGGAATCAAACTTTGTTTCTAAAGAGCAGCAAAAACTCTTAGCCACTGAGTCAGCTCTCCAGTCTAAGCACTTGTCAATATTTATAAGCCACATAAAAACCTCTTCTGTTTCACCTAAAGCAGTTCATTAGGAAGTCAGGATCTTAAGGATAGCAATGGATTTTTCCGGAAACTCTTGCAGTCACTGACACATTAAAAGGATCATTGACTAGGCGGCTACACTGACAACTGGTTTGTTGTAAGAACCAGAAATGGCAGCCCACACCTGTAATCATGCCAGCATTTAGGAGGCTGCGGTGGGAAGATCATGAGCTGGAAGTCAGCCTGGGCCATACAGACCCCTTCTAAAAAAGTAAAAAGGAGCCGGAGGAGGTGGCATATTCCTTTAATCCCAGCACTAGGGAGGCAGAGGCAGGTGGATCTCTGTGAGTTCCAGCATGTTCTAGTTCCAGGACAGCTAGGGCTACACAGAAAAACCCTCGAAAAAAAAAAAAAATTAAAAAGGACCTTGGAATATAGCTCACGTGGCTAGGAATGTAAGGCCCTGGTTTCAGTCCTCAACACCATGAAAACTAAAACCAGTAAAGTACCAGAGGAAAGTATAGAATGTTTTAAAAATTAAAATAAAACTGAAAAGGCATTTAACACTTTTCAAGGAACAAAGAGTTAAAAGTTTACAGTGTCTATTCCCTTTCAAGGACAGTCAGGTGGCACACTGCCCAATACCATTTGTTTACCTAAGCTGGAAAGCCGAGGAACGAAAGGCTGAAGGGACCTCCATGAAGTCTAGCCTCCGGAGGCGAATGGTGACATTTTAAATGGAAGGCTGACTTCAACATTTAGTGACATCCATGGATTTTGAAATAGTCAAGTAGCCTAAAGGCAACACGCATGCAGTTAGCTGAATAGGGAATCTCTTTTATTGATTTCATTATTTAGTTGTGTGTGTTTCTGACGTGACAAATCCCTGCCTGGAGCACCTCTCCCACAGAACTGCTCTCACTGCTCTACTTGACAAGCTGAGGAAAGGGGAAACAAACACTACCTTGGCATCATATTCGGACCCCTCCAACTGTTCAGGTGACGCGTACAGACAGGTCCCCACTCTGGACGTGTGTGCTGCTGTTCCTGCGGTGGAAAAGGTCATTAAGCCATGGTTGTGACCAGAGAGTACTGCGGCTCCTGGGAGAACAGCTGCCTCTTGGCCTCAGCTGAGCTTTGCTATGACAGTTCTGATTTATTGTACGTAAGGCCATATTCAACGATGTCTCTCTCTATATATTTTTAAGTGCAAAAAGAAACAACATAAGTGAACAAATAAATCCTTACCCTTTCCATTTCGGTCTGTCCAATCTGAGCTCTTGTGTATGATGTCTGCACAGGCCAAACCAAAGTCTCCTATTTTTACTTGCTGATCAGGACCGTGAAGGAAAATATTTCTAGGCTATAATAAACAGGAAAAGTCAACTCAGTGTTCTTAAAACAAACATGGAAACTTGTGTTAAGAGCTGCCAGGCATGCAGGTTCATACCTGGAATGTAAGAACTTGGGAGGCAGAGGCAGGAGGACCAAATGTGAATATAATACCAATCAGGATTACACTGTGAGTAAGTCATCAAGGACCATATGACAAAAAGTTGCTAGGCTAAGTAGGCGGCTCATTGAGTAGAGTGTTGGCTGTGCAAGCAAGAGGAGCTGAGTTCAAGTCCCCAGCACTAAAGTAAAAAGTTGAGTGTGTCTGCAGGAGTGCCTAACCCCAGCATTATACAAGAGGAACACTGGCGCTTGCCGGCTGTCAGCCACTTAGCTCCAGGTTCAGCGAGAGACACTGTACCAAGGGAATAAAGTAGAGAGTGATGAAGCAGGATACCCCAAATCCTCTTTGGTACATACACGCTGAGCATACTACACACACACACATACACACACACACCCCAAACTGAAAAAGCTGGCCACTCAGGAACAAGTTTTAATTTAAAAAATTAAAACTTAGAAGAGGCAGGGGATGTAGTTCAGCTGGCAGAGTGCTTGCCTGAATAAACAAAGCACTGTGTTCTAACTCCAGCAATGCATACTTCTCCAGCAATAACACACATCTGCAACCCAGCACTAGAGAGGAGGCAAGATCTCAAGTTCAAGGTCATCTTCAGTTACCAGCCAGTTTGAAGCAAGCCAGAGCTACCTGCTTCAAATAACAACAGCAGCAGCATTACCATCTAACTGGGAGAAAAAAGTTTACTAAAATGAAAACAGATTAAAAGTTGCAATCTTCTACTAAGTATAATTTACTTTTGTTAATAAATGACCAACTGTGTTTTGGTCCTGCTAAGAGTTCTGCTTCTTTAAAAAACTGTGTATCAGGCACAGAGAGAAACAATTAGTAAATGGGACCTCCTGAAACTGAAAAGCTTTTGTAAAGCAAAGGACACGATCAAAAAGACAAAATGACAGCCTACAGAATGGGAAAAGATCTTCACTAACCCCACATCAGACAGAGGTCTGATCTCCAAAATATAAAAAAAAAAAAAAAAAAAATTCAAGAAATTGGACACCAAAAGAACACATAATCCAATAAAAAAAAATGGAGTACAGACCTAAACAGAGAACTCTCACCAGAGGAATCTAAAGGAAATGTTCAACATCCTTAGTCATCAGAGAAATGCAAATCAAAACAACTCTGAGATTTCATCTTACACCTGTAAGAATGGCCAAGATCAAAAACACTGATGACAACTCATGCTGGAGAGGTTGTGGGGAAAAGGGAACACTTCTGCATTGCTGGTGGGAATGCAAGCTGGTACAACCCCTTTGGATGTCAGTGTGGCGATTTCTCAGAAAATTTGGAAACAACCTTCCTCAAGACCCAGCAATACCACTTTTGGGTATATATCCAAAGGATGCTCAATCGTGCCACAAGGACATGTGCTCAACTATGTTCATAGCAGCATTGTTTGTCATAGCCAGAACCTGGAAACAACCTAAATGCCCCTGACCCAAAGAATGGGTCAGGAAAATGTGGTACATTTACACAATGGAGTACTACACAGCAGAAAAAAATAATGACATCTTGAATTTTGCAGGAAAATGGATGGAGCTAGAAAACATTATTTTGAGTGAGGTAACCCAGACACAGAAAGACAATTATCACATGTACTCAATCATAGGTGGCTTTAAAACATAAAGCAAAGAAAGCCAGCCTACAAACCATAATCCCAGAGAATTTAGACAACAATGAGGACCCTAAGAGAGACTTACATAGATCTAATCTACATGGGAAGTAGAAAGTAGAAAAAGACAAGATCTCCTGAGTAAAATGGGATCGTGGGGACCTTGGGGGAAGGTTGAAGGAGGGAGGGGAGAGGCAGAGAGGGGAGCAGAGAAAAATGTAGAGCTCAATAAATATCAAGTAAAAAAAAATCTGTGTGTGTGTGTGTGCATGCACACCAAGGCATGAGGATGGGGGTCAGAGGACAAGTTGCAGCACTCTTACCATGCGGATCCCCGGGATAGAGCTCAGGTTGTCATGCTTGGTGCTAGACATCTGACCCCTAGCCAGCTCACTGGCCCTGTTAGATTTAATTACAGCTGATGCAAAAAAAGGGGAAATGATTTTAACTATAAGATGCCAGTTTGGGGGTTTCTGTTTTGTTTGCTAATAACCGAGTAGAAAAGCGGGGAAACTGTGCTTGCACTTAGCACCGGGAACCAAGTCTCATGAGGGCTAGCTCCAGGATAGAAAGGGATTCTGTTGACATACACAATTCTAACAGAGTTCTAGAACTCAGCTAAGGGGGTCATCGTCATAAGAGACAGAAAGTGACCAATTCCATAGCAGTATCCGCTCACCTTGTAAACCCCTGTTCTAGAGACATCCTCATGGGGAACATAACCAAGAGGGGAAGCAAAGAGCTTGTGGCTGATGCTGCCACGCCGCAGGATGACGCCTCGGTCACCACACTGCACTCTAGACTCTATGGGGCTATAATCAAGGAAGACTGTAAGACAATCAAGAAACTCCTCAGGACCCACCCTGTCAACCAGCCCTTGAACATCCTGGTCAACCCCACCAGCTGCAGACTACTTCTGAACCAGGTACTCCCTCTCAGGCATTTTAAAACAGAGCTGGAAGTGGTGGTAACCCTTCTAATCCCAGCACTTTGGCGGCTGAGGCAAGAGGATGCCTTCAAATTCAAGGCTAGTGTGGGATACATAGTAATTTCTAGGTTTGCCTGAGCTATAGCATGAGGTCATGTCTCAAGAACAAAACAAAACAAAGCAAACAAACAAAAAGAACGCCAAAAGCAGTCAGAAGTTTTGAGAACTACCCCCAGTGCCCTGGGGACTCCCTGAGCCCTTCACGGCTTCACAACACATAGGTCAGCACTCAGGTCCAATACACCCCAGTCAGGCCCTTCTACTCTCCCACACAAATGGATGGGAAAAACACACCATCCTCTCCAAATACGTCCACAGCGATTATGTCACGTAGACTGGGTTTTCACTTCTGATGCAAACACACTTTCCTACATGTTTTGTCTTGTTTGAGGCAGGGTTTTACTCTATAGTCCAGGCTGGCCTAGAACTCACCAACTTCCCCAAGCTGGCCTAAAGCACATAACAATCCTTTGATCTCTGCCTCCCACGTGCTGGAATTGCAGGGATGAAGCGCCAAGGTTGCTGCTTGATTACTGCTTTTGTAATTAGTGTTCCTTTTTTCTCCCCTACCCCCCAAAATAAGCCAGCCCCTCCTTTTTCACTCGTGGTCTCTCTCTCTCTCATCATGCAGTCCAGGCATAAAGCTTCCATATGTATTTTAAGACCTAGTATAAGCAGCTGAGCTAATCACAGTAAGAACACGCACTGCCTTATCTGAAAACCTTGGAAATGCAAGTTTCATAGCTGATAAAGGCTTTGGCAAGACGTATAAAATATAACATGTTCTTGTTAATCAACTTGTGGGTTAAGGACAAAATTACTTCAAAGCAATTTGCTTTACACTAAGAGTTCTTTATAAGAATTAAATTTCAAAGCTTTATTTCAACTCCCCTGAGTATTCACTGGGGGGGGGGGGGAGCAGGCAGGATACAGAGTCTATATACAAAGATGGCCTTGCATTCCTGACTCACCTCCACCTTCTAGGTGCTACGGGGTTATTTACAGGTGTGTACCAACATGCCTAGCTCTAAAACACAAATTCTGTAATTTAAAATTCACCAGCTATGGGTCATTTAAAACAAGCAACAGGGGGATGGAGAGATGGCTCAGTGGTTCAGAGAACTGGATGCTCTTTCAGAGGACCTGGGTTCAATTCCCAGCACCCATATGGCAGCACAATAGTCTACTCCAGTTCCAGGGAATCTGACACTCTCACACAAACACACAAGCAGGGAAAACACCAATGTTCATACAATACAAATAAATAAATTAAAAACTATATTTTTAAAAAGAAACAAACAAACAAAAAAGGGCAACAGAAAAAGAAAATCTTTAGCCAGGAATGGTGGCTTTACTCTCAGCACTTGAGAGGCAGAGACAGTTGGATTTCTCTGTGAGATCCAGGCTAGTTGGTCTACATAGAGAGACTACCCCCACCCTCCCAAAAAAGAAAAGAAAAGCAAAAATCACCATGCACAAACTGAAGAACTGCCAATCAAATGCTTAGTGCTTAGCTGTGCTGAGCGGCACTGTGTATGTAAGCCATGTTTGTTGTGGTTTCCCAACAGCACGCTCATGATATCTTCCCTATCCATCTGGCTGCCGAATACCACAAGCCACAAAGTTTGCTTTGCTTGTTACAACATGGGGCTAACCCAGAAGAAAGGTAAGTTAACTTAACGTGCCTAAGTGAGGGTGTGCACTGTGTGATTCAGATATGTGTCCCACGCTGGGTACAGACTATGTTAGCATGGATCGTACTTTACTGACAGGGTGAGAGACTGAAAAGCTGGGACGAAGCACAGGCATACTAACCAGTCAGGTAAATGAACACATAGGAAGTGGGGGCTCAGCTGTAGTCTGGACTACAGCACTCAAGACACTGGACAAGAGGAAAAGAAAGGGAAAACAAACAACAGGTGATGGGCTGCCTGCGCATGACCCCCCAGTGACCTTCGCTTCAGCCAAGAGAGGCCACCTTGCTCACCTCTTATCTCTGATTCTTGAACACTGTGGCCCAATGGATACATTTGGATAAATCAAGCAATTATATATACGATATAAAAATAATACAACTCAGGGTACAATCCTCATTCTGCTCAGAAAATCTGCCCAGTAGATCTTGTGTTTGCACCCTCTTCTGGCACCACCAGCTCCAGTTTGGCAAAGGTTCTCCATGGCTGGCCCGTCTCGGCCTGAGCCACCATCTCATCCTGTCTCTTCAGGGGCTCCTCAAAGGCACGTTCCTGCCCTAGAACCCCCTCATGAGGTTCTGCACCTATCCAGAACCTTGCCCACATGCACCATTCAGTTAGCCTGCCAGCTTTCCATGCCAGACTATGCATGCCCTCAGGAGGCCGAGATGCCCTGCTGTTTCTCCAAACCGCAGCCTTAGGCCTTCTCACAGATAAGTCTGGGTGAACTGAACAGCAGCTCCTAATGTCAGGGAAGCAGTCTAGTTCTCAGGATAAACCTTCCCTTTTCACTGCCACAACATAGACATTTTGCAGGCAATCCTGAGATGAGGGCCCACTCATTCCACCTGGGTTGAAGCAGGATGTGTGGCTTCTTCACTGGTTTCAGAAAAATGCAGGTGTCCAGATTCAAGTCCTGCCACTGACTCTCCTCCACTTGTGAGTGAATGTGTCAGGGGGAGGACAGACAAAAAGCAGGAAACCGAGGGAATGGAAGTTCTGGCCCGTTAGTGTTCACTCTTGGGACAGTCATAGCTCATACCTAAGTCCACACATTTTTACTAAATACCCAGGGAACCAGCCCAGAGCCATGCATGATTCTGGGAATATAGGAAAAACAACCAAGGGACAGCCTTAAAGTAACCACAGTTCTAGATGGAGCAACCAAGCTTAAATAGGCTTCTCTAAGAACCTAAGGCCCACTCAGCAGGGACTAAAAAGAGCCTTCAGGCATCCAGCAACACAGACTGCCACCACTTCTTTAAAGTAACTAAGGGGCTTAGGGAGACAGCCGAGTCAGTAAAGTACCTGAGTTCACTCCCCAGCACTGATATAAAAGCCGAGTGCACGTGTGCCGGGCGGGAGTGTGGGGGAGGGAACAACACATGGATTGCCAGAGTTCACTTGCCCAGATTCAGTCAAGAGACCCTGTCTCAAAAAATAAAGTGGAGCCAGGTGGTGGTGGCGCACGCCTTTAATCCCAGCACTTGGGAGGCAGAGGCAGGCGGATCTCTGTGAGTTCGAGGCCAGCCTGGTCTACAAGAGCTAGTTCCAGGACAGGAACCAAAAAGCTATGGAGAAACCCTGTCTCGAAAAAAAAAAAAAAATTAAAGTGGAGAACAATCAAGAAATACACTTATTATTGACCTCTGACCTCCACATGTACATGAGTTCATATGTATCTGAGCATGTACACACACATCAACTTATATCTACAGCATCCTCACGGGGGGGGGGGGGGATGAATTAGAAGGGGTTACTTGCGGTCAATGTTGCCTTCCTGAGCATTAATTCTTCATGGGGAAGAGTCCCTTTGTGGAATGTAACTGGCCTAACCTGTGATAAATCCCTTCCAGAGATGCTCAAGGCTTCAACACTCTTCACCAGCTGCTGCTAAACTGGCCAGTCACTTTGACCACGTGGTCTAAAACAAACACTCTGATCCAAAAGCTCCTGGCAGACATTCAGAACAGCGCTGTCACATGTCTACGCATTCTGTGTGAACACGGAGTTCAAGTGAACGCCCAGGCAGACAGGGACGACAAACATTCACCCCTCCACCTGGCCATAAAGCATGGGACCTATCCAGTTCTTGCCCTTTTGGTCCAAAATGGTGCCCGGGTCAATGCTATGAACAGAGCCAGCATGACGCCCCTCCACATGGCTGCAGAAATACTGGACAAAAACATGATAGAGACACTCATTGCCTGCGGGGCCAATGTGAACTGCGCCACCTCAAATACTGGAAACACAGCTCTAAAGCTAGCCGTGCGCACCGCGTCAAGCAAAGCTGGCCAGCTGCTGGCAGCGGGGGTGGGCTGCATCCGTCTGCTGCTAAATCATGGAGCCCAGGTCAATGCCCAAGACCACAAAGGCCAAACAGCTCTGCACAAGGCATGTTTTGGAGGCAGAGAGGTAATAATCAATCTCTTGCTGGAATTTGAAGCAGATGTGAACATCTTAACAAGAAATGGGGAGTCTGCAATACATATGTACCTTCAGCGCAGTTCCAATATTAGAGATGCATCGCTTCTGGCTAGGCTACTTTATTACTCTTACCCTTTAAGACTGAGAAATAAACAAGGGCTTCTACCTGCAGGAATCATGCAACCAGAATTCCACCTCTTAAGGAAAACTCTACTAAAACTAATGAAAAAACCTTTATCCCTAGAGGCCATCTGTAAGAGAAATATCAGAAATATTTATGGTGAGAAGTACAAGTTCTACCTGAAGCAGCATCTCCCTGAGAAGCTATGGGAATCCGTATATGTCTATTATGATTTTGACTACCTGTTGAAATGAGAACTCCATACCCTCAGGGCCAGAGAGCCTCAGCAACTCAAACTGTGTTTTCTGGCTGGATGTGGACCAGAAAACACTTCAACTTAACTTTACATTGCAATGTACAAACTACTGGTCCTTAATCCCTTTCCAAAAAATTAAAGTGACCAGCACGTTAACTCTCATCGTCTTCTAAGTTCCATTTAGATGCCTTTCCCATGATTTAATTTTGGCTTGAAAAGTGGGTTAATTGTTTTAAGATTTATCAGCCAAAAAAGAAAGTATATTTTGTCTTTTCTTGATAGTCTTTTATGAAATAAAACTAAAATAGTTCCCTTGGGGCTTTCTCTTTTTTGTGTGGGGTGATTTATTCTTGGTTTTATGAGATGAGGTAGTGGTGTAGGAGGTCCTTTTGTCATTGTGTTGCTTTCACTGGTTAATAAAGAAACTGCTTTGGGCCCTTGATATGGCAGAACTTAGGTAGGTGGGGAAAATTAAATGGAATGCTGGGAGGAAGAAGGCAGAGTCAGAGAGCCACCATGGAGCCGCCAGAGACAGACATGCTGAATATTTCCCAGTAAGCTACTGTCATGTGGCGATACACAGATTAATAGAAATAGGTTAAATTAAGATGTAAGAATTAGTCAATAAGAAACTGGAGCTAACGGGCCAAGCAGTGATTTAATTAATACAGTTTCTGTGTGGTTATTTTGGAGCTAAACTAGCCTGGCAGCCAGGACAAACAAGTGGGCCTGCCTGCTCCAACAAGGTAGTAGTCCAGGCTAACCTCAAGCTAACTGATCCTCCTGTCTGCTAGAGTTGTATTTTCAGTGTGGTTTGGTTTGAAGGACCTGGGGTTTTGATTTTAGTTTGGGTCCTTGAGACATGACTCAATACAGAGCCCTGAAAAGCTCTAGACTTGCCTAAGCCTCCTGCGCTGGAATAAAAGGTGTATGCTAAAAGAATTGCTGCTGTTGTTGTTTTTGTTTTTATTTGAGAAAGGGTTTTTCTTTGTGTAGCTCCAACTGTCCAGGAACTTGCTCTGTAGACCAGACCGGCCCGAAACTCAAGAGATCCACCTGCCTCTGTCTCTGCCTCCCGAGCACTAGGCTTCAAGGTGTGTGCACTACCACAACTAGCAGCAGCAGCTTTTTTTTTTTTTTTTTAGATATGGAAAAAAAAGAGCTGGGCAGTGGTGGCACACACCTTTAATTCCAGCACTCGGAAGACAGGCAGGTGGATCTCTGTGAGTTAGAGGCCAGCCTGGTCTACAAGAGCTAGTTCCAAGCCACAAGCCACAGAGAAACCTTGTCTCAAAAAACCAAACAACAACAACAACAAAACCCAAAACAAACCATTTGCTGAAACAGACTTTAATTTCTAAGGCTGCACTTCTACCGACACCCGAGTGTATTTACCATCACCAATTATATTAGTAATCAGTATCCCTACGCCTTACTGTGTTCACACTTCAAAGTCAAGGTTCAAATGACACCAAATTACTGCTCTCAAATTCAACTTAGGATTTCTTTTTAAGCAGGGAGGACTGTTTTGGAAGGGTGTGTGTACACACGAGTATGCTTATGCATTCAGAGGCAAAAGTTAACATTGGGTATCTTTCTTAACTAATCCCCTGGACTAGCTGGCCAGTGAAACCCAGGAGTCCTCGTGTCTGTCTCTGCTTCCCCAGCACTGAGGTTACGGGCACAGGCTGCTGCACGCAGCTTTCTATGCAGATCCTGGAGATACAAAGGCAGGTCCTCATGCTTACCCAATAAACACTTTATTGACTGAGTCATCTTCCCAGTCAAGAGTTCTGAGCCTCTGGAATAACCATTTACAAGACAGCAAAGCAATGAATGACAAACCTCCTAAACAGAAGGATGAGGGTACATCACCTCACTGTACTCCATGAACTCACATTGAGTCACCCCTGTGAGACACCATTGCTGTGCTCACAGGTGTGGTCGTCTGGCTTACCTTCAGATCTCTGTGGACAATGCCCATGTTATGTATGTAAAAGACACCTTCCACCAATTCTTGAAAAATTTTTGTTGCAACACTGGCCATAACATAGGGACCTGGAATTTAAGAACAAACAACCGGTTTCTTATCCCTATTTCTCTGAACTCATTAAATGACATTAACATTTAAATGTTAAATGTTCTCAACAATTAATTTTAGACACTTCAACATTCAAACACTCCAAAATGGTCTAAAACATAGAATTAAGGAAGAAGGATTCTTTGCTGGCAAAGAAAAAACATCACAGACTGACAGTCAATGCTGACACCATGTTTCCAAAAAGGTACTAAGCTCAGCCAGGAACTGCTAGCGACTTTCTAAACAATTACCAGGCATTGAGTGACCAAATTACAGCTCCAGTCTTCTTTGGCTCTTAATACGCTGGTGTCAAAGGCTAATTTACTTACTGTCCTGGGCCACACTGGATTAAGACATTATTACAAACACTGGAGTAAGAAAACACAAATTACCGAGGCACAGCAGCTCGGGTTTATAATCCTGTAACACCTGGAGGTTGTAACAAGAGGACCAACCTGAGCTACACAGTAAGACCCTGTCTCAAAAAGGAAGTGGGGGAAGATAAATTCTGTTCAAGGCAGAAGTTTCTATCCATCACTTGTCAGATCTGCTAAAAATGACTGGATAATGAAGAATACAGTCTAAACTTTCCCTAACAAGTTCAGTAACATGGTAATAGGAGGAGGGGTTGTGCTTTTAATTTTTAAATCCTTACTTATGTGTACACACACATATAAACACACACACATATATATTAAATTATGTGTATGAATTATATACATGTGCCACATGCATCCATGTGCCAAAAGCAGGTGTGAAGGTCAGAGACAACTTGTGGATTCAGTTTTCTCCAAGGGATCCACCTCAGATTTTCAGGCTTAGAGGAGAAGCCCACTTACCACTGAGTCTCCTCACCAACCCTTTTTCTGTCATGTTGAGTCTCATACTGTAGCCTGGAACTCAGGACAGCCTTTGATTTCAACCCGAGTCCTGGGCTGGAAGGTATGAGCCCCCAACCACAACTGCTACAGTAAGAGCTCACTCAAAGCAAGGGCAGGCATGGCTGATTTATGTCTTCAATCCCAACCGTCATTCCCATAATTCCTCTGGATGGACACAACTATTCAGTTTTTTCTCATCTCTAAGGACACTACTGTTTTGGAAGGACCTGTCGGTTACTTTTCTGAAACAGGCAGAACTTTGGAGCTCATTGGCCAGCCAACCCAGACAAATCAGTGAGCTGTAGGGTTAGTGAAGACACAGTCCCAAAAATAAGGTAGGGGATGACTGAGGAAGACACCTAAAATCAACCTCTGGTCTCCACAACATGCAAATGTGCATGCACCCGCACAAATACGTGCATTTTAGCACATAAAATACCAAAAACAGTCTATCCAAAATCATTGGCCTAAACTCTATATTACTATTTAAATATGGTCTTTGTTTCTTTTCCTGCTGCCATCATAAAGTACCCTGAGAGAAGCAACTCAAGGGAGAAAAATCAAGTTCAAGGTCACAGTCAGTGTGGCAGGACAAATCCAGGTGATTCTAAACCCCGTCAACCTGACTACTAACATCAACCATCATCAATACCAACAAACACTTTATCACAGATAATTGTCAAACTCACAGCTGGTTTTGAAAAATACGGAAAGAAACAGATTTACAGATGGTACTTACAGGCAGCTTCATCCACATACTCCCGGCTCCGCTTGTTCCTCTCGGCTATCCAGTCCCACAGGGAGAGCTCACACAGCTGCATCTGGATGTGCAACATCAGGTGGTACCGAACCTGGAGGATACACAGCATGCGCCCATCTGCCAAGTCGCACCATCTTCATTTGTCAACAAATACTGGCCCACTCTAGGTCAAACACCATGACTAACTGTGGCCTAGAGTCTCCTACAGGAGTCACAGTGTAGCCTGAGGCTGGAGATGCCGCTCAGTGGGTAAAGTGCTTGCTTTGCATGCAGGAAACCTAAGTAACCTATTCTGATTTGCTTATTTTCATTTTGTTACATCATCATCATCATCATTATTATTATTATTAGGTTTTTTGAGACAGGGTTTCTCTGTAGCTTTAGTGCCTATCCTGCACTAGCTCCTGTTGACCAGGCTGGCCTCGAACTCACAGAGATCCGCCTGCCTCTGCCTCCAGAGTGTTGGGATTAAAGGTGTGTGCCACCACCACCCAGCCTATTATTATTTTTTTAGAGGCCTGTTTGTATTCTGAGAGAGAGAAAGAGAAAGGGTATGCATATGGGTGGGTGTGGAGTTGGCAGAGGGGAAATGGTAATCAGAATATAGTGTATAAAAAAAAATCTATTTAAAAGAAAAAAAAAAGCCGAGCTCCCTGCTACTGCTCCAACACCCTGCCTGCCTGCCTGCCAACGTGCTCCCTGCCATGAAGGTCCTGGACTCCAACCCCGTAAAACTGTTTGCCCCAAATAACTTTTTCTTCTGTGAGTTGCCTTGGTCAGGGTGTTATCACAGCAATAAAAGAGTAACTAAGACAGCTGGCCTCTTTACATTGTGTCTTGTTGTTAGATATTTGTACACTGTGTGAAAATGTTTTGTGATTGATATAATAAAAATCTGAACAGCCAATAGCTTCTGGACAGAGAAAACTCTGGGAAGAAGGCAGAGTCACAAGTCAGGGTGGAGGAAGCAGCATGAGCAGTATGGAGAGATGAGCTAACAAGAACATAGATTGAAATAAATAGATATTTAAGTTTCAAGAGCTAGTGGGACAAGCCTAAGCTAAGGTCAAGCTGAGCACAGTGTCTGGCTAAAGAGAGAACATTAAGCTGATGGCAGACGATTGGATTCAGCATTAAGGAAAATGTTCCCTTAAGAAAAAAGTACGCACGCGCACACACACACATTCTTTCGTAAGAATTATTTTGGTACAAACAGATTTTCAGCCCTACTCTGACAGATTGTTATGTGTCATGTAGACTCCATTAATGTTCAAGTTTTGTGTGTGCATGCATGGGGGGTCTGTGGATGTTCATGTGTGTATACAAGATGCATTTCTACGTGAAGGCCAGAATTCAACCTCAGGTGTTGTTCCTTGGGAGCTGTCCATCTTGTTTTTAGAGACAGGGTCTCTCACTGGGGTGGCAGGGTTTACCAGTTAGGATAGACTAGCTGGCCAGGGATTCACCTCTCTTCACCTCCCCAGCGCTGGCATTAAAAGTATGGGATTACAAGTATGCACCACCACACCCAAACTTTTATATAAGTTCTGGGGATCAAACTCAGGTCAGGCTTACATGGCAAGCATTTTACAACTGAACTGTCCCTCCAGCTCCTAATGTTCTGGTTCTCTAAATGCTAACAATACTGATGAGAGTCTGACACACATATTAGCAAACTTAGCACAGTAAAAGTTTGCTGACAACTGACCTAGTAATCTTACAGGAGTCACCAAAAGTCACACTCCAAAAATATAAAATCGTTCTGCATGAATATATGTATATATTTATGGTATAATGCTAGCATGTACTAGAAAGAGATGGTGAATGAAGCTTCCAACTTCAGGCAGGGCACACCATTGAGAATAGGTAGGGATGCACTGGTCAACGGGAAGATGAGTAAAAGGTTACTAGCAGCTAAGTGAATGAGGAAAGCTAACTACCAAGGCTAAGGCTACAGCAGGGCCGGAATGGGTTAGTAGTGTGTTGCTGGCAAGCACAAAGCCCTGGGCTTGATTTTCAGATCTGCATTAACACCTAGAATTCCAGCATTCTAGAGGTGGGGGCAGGAGGATCAGAAGTTCAAGGTCATCTGTGACTACACAGCTCGGTTCCAAGTCAGACTGGGCTGCGTGAAACCCTGTGTGCAGGAGGAGATGGGGGACCCAAACCTGAGAAATACCATACAGCTAATGGGAGCACAGTAAGTCCTGAGATAAACAGAAGAAAACCACAAGGAAAGATGCAGCACCACTGGAAGTCTGCCGAGGAAGAAGGAGGCTACACACAGGCAAACCCCTGACACAGCGGTGAGTGAACACCCCAGCAGGATCTGGGAAAGCATGTTACCTCTGTCTGCTCCAGCAGGCTCAAATGGCCTTCGGAAGACTCATCTGTGGATGTAGAATTCCCTTCCAAGTACGAGTTATGCCCCGGCGGCAGATGACGCTTGACAATTGGTCCGATAGACAAATCGGTCAAGCCATTATCTTGGAGCTCAACGGACGACCCGAATTCACTGCTGTTCCTGATCACTAAATCAGCAGTGTAGCCCACCAGGTTGTTATTCTCATTTTTAATGTCAGATTTGCCAAGAGGTTTTTCTCTTTCTGAAGTGAGTTCAGCAAAGATAATGGATGAGCTGCTTTCATTATCTCTGACACCTTGATCTCTAGAAGTAAAAATACAGTAACACAAAAGTGAACATAAATGGCGAGAGTATCTAAACCATTCTTTTAAGCAGGATGAACCGTTCAAATGTCTAAATAAATAGCACCAGGCAGGTCTTTTTGGCAGAAGCCTGTAATCTCAGTTCTCAGTGACAAAGCACTGGGAACTGAAGGAAGGAGATCAGTAGTTCAAGGTTTTCCTCAGCTAGTTCTAGGCAAGCTTGGGCTACATAAAACTCTGTCTTAAATTTTAAAAAAGAGTACCAAATATGTCTAGCATTAACTATGATTTAAAGTATTAATGGAGGGTCAGAAATGGTGGTCCACACCTATAATCCCAAGACCCGGGAAGCTGAGGAAGGAGGATTTGAAGCTAGCCTGGGCTCAAACAGGTCTGAGCTGCACAGCAAGACCCTGTACCAAATAAGTCAAGTCAAGTGAATACAACTGTCACAGGAGAAAGTAATTTAGTATTTTGTAGGGAAAATAAACACAATTATGAAAGGATAAAAAAAAAAAAAAAAGAAAAGAAAACCGGGTGGTGGCAGTGCAGGCCTTTAATTC